GACTTGGGCTGCACATACATAAAGATTAAAGTTCCATAGAATACTACCAGCACTGTCAGGTGAGATCCACAGGTGGAGAAGGCCTTGCGCCTACCTTCTGCAGAGTTCATCCTGAGAATTGTTGCAAGAATGAACAGGTAAGAAACAAGAACTACTAAAATAGATACAATTAAATTAAATGCTGCGAAGATGAATATTGTCATTTGAATTTCATTCTTGTTCGAACAGATCAAAGATAACAAGGCAAGACAGTCACAGTAGAAATGACTTATGACAGTATTGCCACAGAAGGATGAGTTAAAAATCTTTATGGTGACCAGAAGAGAATTAAACGTGTAGTAGAGATAGGGGATTGCCACCAGCACATGGCAGGCCCTTTGGGACATGATGACGGTGTACAGCAGAGGGTTACAGATGGCCACGTAACGGTCATAGGACATGGATGATAAAATCAGCAGTTCACTGCCGATGAACACATTAAAGAAAGTTAGCTGTATAGCACAAAAATAATAGGAGATTGTATTTTCATCTGCAACAAAATTTACCAACATTTTGGGTCCCACGGTTGTTGAATAACCAAGATCAATGATAGCCAGGTGTCTAAGAAAAAAGTACATTGGTGTTTGTAGCTTGGAGTCTATCATGGTGAGGATGATCATGCCCAAGTTGCCCACCATTGAGATCATGTAGATGATGAGGAACAGCACAAACAATGGAGCCTGAAGTTCAGGGCGGCTGGTGATGCCCATCAGGATGAATTCATTCAGTATTGTTCGATTGTGTTTGTCCATCTTGGCCTATCAGTGTACCTATTTTAGATAGAGATAATAGCAGACAATAGCAGTCAATAGCTGTTATATAATATCAACTGGTTATATAATATCAACTATTTAGCATACCATGTCGGTATGTTAATTGAATAAGATAAATTTGAACTTCCCAACATTGGTATTTGAAAGGAAATACAGTTTCTACAAACAAATCATACTGACATAGACATGAGATAGAGTAAGAAGAACAGGAAAAGAGGGGACAAGAGAGAAAATCAGAGAGCTAACTGGTCATCATTGGGGACAATTTGTTTCTCAAAGAACATTTGTTAATGTCTGAAATATTTTGGATGTCATAGCTTAGAGAAGGGTTCTACTAGCATCTAATATTTATAGCACTTGTATGTTACTAAACATTTGTCACTATGCAATGTAGTTCACAACAATAACAAATTTACATCCTTAAATGTCAAAAGCTCAAATTTTGGAAATCTAGATATGGATATTGTTATAGATACGTTGTTTTTGTTAAGTGCTGTCGAGTCATTTATAGGCATGTTGTTGTTTTGTTATAAAGTGTCTTCAAGTCAGTTTCAACTCTTAGCGACCCTGTGTAGGGTTTCTGAGGAGCAGCCGATGGATTTGAAATGCCGATCTTGTGGTATGCCGTCCAGTGCTGATCCACAATGCCTCACCAGAAATCTTGTTTGTAGACATAGACACAAGTTGTATATATTAGATAGATAGATAGATAGATAGATAGATAGATAGATAGATAGATGATAGATAGATAGATAGATAGATGATAGATAGATAGATGATAGATAGATAGATGATAGATAGATAGATAGATAGATAGATAGATAGATAGATATGGAGATCAATAGATACAGATTTGCATGTAAATATATGACACACAAATATTCAAAGTTGAAAAATTTCAGAGTAAAGTATATAGATGGCTATTAAATGCATTGTTTATATTTTATATATCAATTACATTATAGTGCTATTTTATGTAAATTACATTATAAAAGTTTTAAATTCAAATTTCCCAAATTTGGGGAACATTTAATATTCCTTACTTGAGAACTCAGTGTAGAGAAAGACATTGTGCCACAAGTGGTATTGACTGAAATAACATATGCAATTCACCACATGTGTTAACAAGGATACGCTAATAAATCATAGTGGAGATTATCAATCTTGTTTTTAGGGAAGTATCCCAGAAGATGCGTATATGCACATATAACACTGTTGGTTATCAGATAAGATATCTTCATCTCTTCATGCACATCTGCAAAATGATCACTTCTCAGTTTTGCTGGAAAAATAAATGAACATTAAATTTTTCAACGTGTTTATGGAATTGAGGAATGACTTTCAAATGTCAAGTACAGAGTATTTTGCTTTGTTTTTATAATGACAATAAGTTGACTTATTGACTTAAAGGACATTTAAATTCTATTAGTGTGACAACTTCAGTTTTGGGACTGTCATGATGTTCAGGTTGAAAAGAATGTTTTCTGTGTAACTGACTGCAGTACTTCCCTCATATTTGACTCCATAAATAGAATTGTACCATACCAAATTCATTAAATATGTCCTCCTTAGGAGTGTTCTCTTTCTTCCTAAAATAAAAGGGGTTTCTGAAAGCTGATGAAAAACATAATTTATAGATAATGAAATTTTTCCACAAAATCTTTTAAGTCTACCATATATTCTATATGAGCTATATATATGTAATCCTACTATATAATTGTGCTACAAATATATCGGGTTTTTTTTTTTTCCATTATATATATATTTGAGGAACTCTGGTAGCATAGTGGTTACGAAACGGGCTGCAAAGCGCAAGGTCAGCAGTTCGAAACTACCAAGCTGTTCCATGGGACAAAGA